ACCGATCTGAAATTTTCTTTGATCACAACTCTCTCTAACTCTTTTTGGTGTATACAAAAAGAACTTTGATTTTTTAAAACTCTCTTTTGACAAAGAAATCTCTTTGACCGGGTAGGTGCATACTAAAAGTTCTTTGATTAGTTTTTTGGAATTCTCTTTGACCAAACCCTTGAACTGCTGAATTATAATTTTTTAGAATAGAAATTAATTCTACAGTATGGATGTGACTCTGGATATTGGTTGGTCACGACAGTTGTGTGCGGAGTGGGGCACATAACATACACGCTTTTAATTGGCTCTTTGAAACTTTTATTTGACCGATCTGAAATTTTCTTTGATCACAACTCTCTCTAACTCTTTTTGGTGTGTACAAAAAGAACTTTGATTTTATAAAACTCTCTTTTGACCAAGAACTCTCTTTAACCAGGTAGGTGCATACTAAATGTTCTTTGATTGTTTTTTGGAATTCTCTTTAACCAAACACTTGAACCGCTGAATTATGTTTTTTTAAAATAGAAATTAACTCTATAGACGTGACTCTGGACATTGGTTGGTCACGACAGTTGTGTGCGGGGGTGGAGCACATAACACACATGCTTTTACTTGGCTCTTTGAAACTTTTATTCGACCAATTTAATAGAATTATATAGATTTTGAAATTTTCTTTGATCACAACTCTCTCTGACTCTTTTTGGTGTGTACAAAAAGAACTTTGATTTTTTAAAACTCTCTTTTGACAAAGAACTCTCTTTGACCGAGTAGGTGCATACTAAACATTCTTTGATTGGTTTTTTGGAATTCTCTTTGACCAAACTCTTGAACTGCTGAATTATGTTTTTTTAGAATAGAAATTAACTCTATGGACATGACTCTGAACATTGGTTGGTCATGACAGTTGTGTGCAGGGGTGGGCACATAACACACACTTTAGTTGGCTCTTTGAAACTTTTATTCAACCGATCTAATAGAATTATAAATGGATTTTGAAAATTTCTTTGATCAGAACTCTCTTTGGCTGGTAATACTTTGGTTGTTCTTTGAAATTCTCTCTCTCTTTGATCAGATTGTACAAAGAGAACTTTAACCAAGACTTTTTTTTGGTTTGTTCTTGAAATTTCTCTTTGACCAACCCTTTTTTTTGACTAATATATACTTTACTAATATACTTTTATATTAAAAAAACTTTATTTACTAAATTTAGAATAAATGATAATAATATTTACATTAAATTAAACTGGACGGCAAAGCCGTCCACATGAAATTACAAAAAAAAAATAAACCATCTTATTGATGTCCCAGCGGGTAACAAAAATATATTACTAGATTTGTCTAGAAAAATAATTTTTAATTGTTTTAATTTGTTGCAGAGCAAGACCTGCAATTGAATTAAAGCTATATGAAAGTCATTTAATCTTATTTACCCCAATTTTTTTAAATAAATTATATATAACGTTTGCTCTCTGTGTTCTTTTTTTTAAAGTGGATATATTAATTCCAGAACAACGAGCTAAAATTTCCTTATAAACTTTTGACCTGGCTTTATTAACATTCATTCTATTATTATTTAATATTATTGTTACTTCCTTTCATACTCTTCAGCATAATAGTACCAGCGCAATATCTCAGCTTGATTGGCTTGCCTAGCATATTTACTTGCATGACTAGCCTTATTATATAATATAATCAAGTTTAATGTAGTATCTCATGAGGTACTTGCCTCTTTTTCATTGCTACTACTAACTGATAAGCATATTTCATCATCTTCACAAGGAGTTATTAATTCGTTCATAAGTCCTTCAAAAATTTTTTGATTTTTTTCTAATGCCCTAGATGTAGCAAGTATTCTAAATACCAATGCCATAGAAGAAGTTGGTGATGCAGATAAAGTTGGTGACATGGCTGCTATTGATAATGATGAGATAGGTGCTGTAGCCATAGTTAATCCAGGTGTAATGGTCAATCTAGCAGTAGATCTCGCAGGTGTCGTGGTAGATCTCACAGGTGTTGTGGTGGATATTGCAGGTGTTGTGGTAGCAGGTGTTGTAGTGGATTTATTACGTCATGCCGTGGTAGATCTATTAAGTGCCATAGAACTAGATGTAGGAATAGGTATAATTGGCATAGAAGGTAAAAAATTTTGTGTATTTATTGATTGAATTGAACTATAGAAGTAGAGCCTTCTTGACTTATTTCGACAAAGAGAGCAAAAAAGTCCCGAACAATTAGTCCAATTACTAATACACTTTTTATAAAAAAAATGTCAACATGATAAGATAGTGATAGATTGTTAGAGTGTTGGACTAATAAAATCTAAGCATATACAACATTTATCATTTTTGTTTATATCAATAGATTCAGGAATTCTTTCGGGTATATCTTGAAAAACAATTTTAAATAAAAATCTTTTTAAATTTTTTATTCAAGCTTGATAAGATGTAAAAAAAATTACCAAATAGCATATTTAAATATAAAAGAGCATTGAAGATTTATAATTAAAAACTTTACTTTATGTTCTCCTATATTAGTAATCATATTATTAAGAAAAAAGTCCCACATTATTAAATTCTAAAAAAAATTATTAATCGTTCGTGATCAAATCTAAAGGATTAGACCCTTAATTAAATAAGAATAGGGATATGGTTTTTTTTTGTGGAGGCAATGTTTAATTATGCTAAATATATAATAAGAGTCTTCATTTCCTTTTTACTGATCATATTAAAAGGTCAGACCCCTATAATAGTTAATTAGGAATATCGTGATGAAAATCACATACTTAGATAATAATTTTTTTCGTGGAGACAATGTTTAATTATGCCACTATAAGATTTGAGTGACGATATTATCTTAAATAATTTTTTTTTTGTGAAGCAATGTTTAATTATACTATAAGGTTTTTAATAGTTCAAATCCATTCTTTTTCTTTTTACTGATTATACTAAGGGATAACTAGGTAGGTGCATACTAAAAGATCTTTGATTGGATCTTTGAAATTCTCTTTGACCAAACTCTGACCACTGAATTATGTTTTTTTAGAATAGAAATTAATTCTATGGACATGACTCTAGACATTGGTTTGGTCACAACAGTTGAATACAAGGTGGGGCACATAACACACACACACTTTTAGTTGGCTCTTTGAAGCTTTTATTCGACCGATCTAATAGAATTATGGGTGGATTTTGAAATTTTCTTTCTCTTTGACCGGGTTGGTTCTTTGGGAACTTGATTGGTTCTCTTTGACTAAACTTTTGAATCGCTGAATTATAAATTTTTTTAGAATAGAAATTAACCTTGAATTGGTAGCGTTGGTCAAGGTCTTTTCAAGTCTTGCTGCAGCGATACTAGCATTTCGGATAAGTGTAATCTTTGAATTATATCTTGATTACTTGGTTGTAGGCTTTAGCTAGAAGTCAAAGATAATGCTTTCTT